GAGCTTCCCAGAGGAGGGCGGGGCTTCCCCGGAGGCGGGCAGGGCTGCCCCCGGGGACCCGCACACGGTGCCTGCGCTCGGGGTGGGGCCTGGGTGGCCAGCTCCCCAGGCAGAGCCCACAGCCCCGGCCCGGCTCTGGGTCCTCCCTGGAGGCCTGGGGGGCGGCAGGCGTTGCGGACCATCAGGAGGGGAGGGTGGGGCCGGCTGGCTAGTCCCCGGCCCACGTGGCCCACGGCCTCCTCCTACCCTCTCTCCACGGACACTGCATCTGCCCCACATCCCGCTCGGCACCGGGTCCAGGGCCTCTACGTGGACAGAGCTGGGACCCCAGACGACCCCCAGGCACCACCTGCCCAGGCCTGCGGGGGGCTGGGGGGGGCAACCGGGTTTCCAGGCGAGGGCGGCATCTGAGGTGTCGGGGCTCGGGGACCGCCTTCTGCACAGGGAGCTGCCTGTCCCTGGTCCCCCCCCCTTCACCCCACTGCGCCTCCTGTCCCAGCGGGGTTCAGCCCTGCCCAAAGGCTGGGCTCTCTCGTCCTCCATGGAGGACACGGTGCACGGGTCTGAGCGCAGACTTGCATGCTCCTGCCCGCCCCTCCCCACGGCCACTCCCCATCATGCACTAAAGTGGGGCTCAATCTCCGATCTTACTGATTCACTCCAACCCAAGCATGTCAAACTCGCGGCCCACGGGCCACATGTGGCCCGCAACAAATAGTTTTGCGGCCCAGCCCATATAACGGTGCGAGCAGTTACTATTATTTACAATCATGGAAGAAAATACGACTCCTGTCAGATCCAGAATCACTGACATTCACCTGGGGGCAGCTTTGAAAGTGACCACTGCAAACAAGACCCTCCCCCCCCCCCCCCCCCCAGGTGGGAAAGATAGTAGCAGACAGAACACGCCAAGTGTCAGGAAGGAAACATGAATTTTATCATCTCTCGTGTGCTTTTTTTTTTTTATTAGAGCCCGTGATCGGCAAACTGCGGCTCGCGAGCCAAATGCGGCTCTTTGGCCCCTTGAGTGTGGGTCTTGCTTAGCCTTACAGTGATGGCGAACCTATGACACCGTGTCAGAGGTGACACGCGAACTCATTTTTTTGGTTGATTTTTCTTTGTTCAATGGCATTTAAATATATAAAGTAAATATCAAAAATAGAAGTCTTTGTTTGACTGTGGCTGCAGATATCAAACAATGTCTCTATGTGACGCGGCACCAGAGTTAGGGTTTTACAAAATGCTGACATGCCGAGCTCGAAACATTCGCCATCACTGCCCTAGGAGCACCCTCATTAAGTTAGTAACAATGTACCTACCTATACAGTGGGGCCTTGACTTACGAGTGTCCCGACTAACGAGTTTTTCGAGATACGAGCCGTCTCTCGGCCGGTTTTTTGCTTTGAGTTGTGAGCTAAAATTCGGGTTACGAGCAGCTTCAGATACCCCACCGCTAGTGGGCGCAGCGAACGTCACAGTGAACGCCACCACATCGGCCCAGCATCACGTGTCTCACTCGTTCACTTTTTGATTTGACATACGAGTGGTTTGAGTTACGAGCTCCGTCAAGAAAGGAATTAAACTCGTAAGTCAAGGCCCCACTGTATAGCTTAAGTTTTAAAAATTCGGCTCTCAAAAGAAATTTCAGTCGCCGCACTGTTGATATTTGGCTCTGATGACTAATGAGTTTGCCGGCCCCTCGACTTTTCAAAGGAAACCTCCGTTTCTATGAGAATGGAGGCTTTTGTGATTTTGCAGCCCACACCCGCTCACACCCTGTTTATTTGGCCCGTGTTAGCCCTTCGAGTGTGACGTGCTTGCTCCAACCCAACAAGTCCCCGGGTCAGTCCACCGTCCTGTGCCTCAGTTTCCCCTCCTGTCAAGTTCAGAGGCGCGCGGGGCGCCTCTCACAGGTGCACGCGGGGAGGCAATCGGCTGACACACCCAAAGGGCCCAGAACAGCGCCTGCCGCCAGCGAGGGCTCGTCCAGGCGAGGGGCACGCTTAACCTGTTTGTTGCCGTTGCTGATCCTCACCCGGGGATGTTTTCCCATTGATTTTTAGGGAGAGAGGGAGAGAGAGGGAGAGGCAGAGAGAGACATGGATGTGAGACACACACATCCATGGGTTGCCTCCTGCACGCGCCCTGACCAGGGCCCGGGCCTGGGAGGAACCTGCAACCCAGGTACGTGCCCTTGACCCGAATCGAACCTGGGACCCTTCGGTCCGCAGGCCGATGCTCTACCCACTGAGCCACACCGGCCCGGGCCCGTTGAACGTGTTTTTAAACCTACGCGCAAATGGGGGCGCCCAGAGGCACGGTGGCAGCGAGGGGAGGGCCGGTGTCCGCGCTGTGCTGGCTGGCCCATGGTCAGGGTCATGCCAGCGCCCACCCCGCCAGCCTCTCTCCAATACATTTCCTCGTTGCCCTGGGCCTCGGACAACTCGGAGAGGAAGCGAGCCACCCCGTGGGGGAAACTGAGGCTTGGCGAGGAGGTGGCGTGGGCAAGGCTGGCGGGAGCCCTGCGGTTTACGGGGGTCACTTGGGGGCAGTTTTGGGGATCAGGGGCCCTAGGCCTGGTTCTGAGTACATTCTCCTGGGGGGGGGGGGGCGCGGGAGACTTTAGACGTCGATGGCAGGTCTGTAGGGGTCCCAGAGGGGCTGTATTCGAACTGGAACTCCCCTGACCAGCCCCTTGGGACCCTCTAGCCAGCCCCTTGGGGACCCCCCTGCACCCCACCCCCACCCCAAGTCCCTGGGAACACGCTGTTACACTCTTAGATCTACACTCTTCCTTTATAAGGGAAAAAGCGGACCGATACCCTGACCACAGCGCTTTACGGGTTTTCCCCTCTTATAAAACGTACGCGTGCAACGGGCAACTCCCTCGTGTTTTGAAATTAACTTCTTTTTTTAAATTGTTTTATTGCTTCAAGTATTACAGAGTATGACATATGTCTCCCCTTTTTTTTCTCTCTCCTTGACCCTCCCCTGGCCTCCCTCCCCCCCTCCCCCCAGTGTCTGTGTCCATTGGTTGTGCTGATCTGCATGCATACAAGTCCTTGGGCTGATCTCTTACCCCCCCCCTCCCCCCAACCCTCCCCAGCCCTCCCCAGCCTTCCCGCTGTAGTTTGACCGTCTGTTGGAGGCTGCTCTGCCTCTGTGTCTATTTTTGTTCATCAGTTTATCATGGTCTTAATTATCCATAAATGACTGAGATCACGTGGTGTTTTTCTTTCATTGAAATTAACTTCTGACGCCAGAACGGGCCAGCGTGGACCTGCCGGGGTTCTCAACAGCGACACCTTCTGGCCACTTCGGGGAACTGCAAGACCAAACCCCTGGGAGAGACCTGGGCGCTCCCAGGAGACACCCTGCTCCCACCCTACCTCCTCCCATGCCCCTCCCCCCGCCCCCGGTGAGGCGCACAGAGGTAGGGCCACACCTCCATGCATCTTAAAGGTGAAAATAGTGACACACACAGAAGTTGCCAGCTTCCCCGTGCCCATCTCCGTGCGCCATCCGTGGGCCCGCCGCGGCCTTGTCCTGCAGGACCAACGTGCACAGCCCTCTCCATGCCCACCCGGGCCCGGGCAGGTGCCCACGCGGGCTATCAGCGCCCCTGGAAGCGACCTCGGAGACCGCAGGTCCCCTCCTCCACGGGAAACCCTCCCGGGCATCCTCTGTGGGCGGGAAGTGGAGGTCTGCAGGCCCGGGCGGTGGTACCCGGGGACAGAGCACGCCCGGACACTTTGGGGTGTCATGGCTCAGGGGTGCAGCGTCCCCGTACACGGGACAGCCCCGCACAGGCCAGAGCGCGCGAGGCTGGGCGCCGCGGGTGGGAGGGGTGTGGCACGTCTGGCTGGCCTGCCCGGAGCTGCCACTTTCGGGCTGCGTGACCTTGGGCTCAAGGTCACCTCCCTCCACAGCCAGGCGGGGCCGCGAGACAAGGCGTCCCGACTCTGGGACCATCGCTCCCTCCTCCTCGCCCACCCCGCGGCTCTCCACCTGCTGCCTGGGAATCAGAGTCCCCTCAGGTCAATCCAGGGCCCAGCCAGATGTGCACCGCCTCCCTGAACCCCGCAGCTGGGCGGCCAGTGCCCGCCCCCTTCCTCCCCCCCAGAGGGCCAGGCCACGTAGGCTGAAGCCACCCCCGCTGGCCACGCATGTACCACCTCTGCCGTCCCTTCACCCCCCAGGACACCCGCCCACCACAGGTCCCCCTCAAAGAAGGCACAGATCGCCGGACGCCCGGGAGGACACGGGGATTTTGCCAGGAACGTTCCGGCCACGTGGGTATTCCTACCACTGCGCCAGTTTCCAAGCGAGGTAGCGAGAAAGAGAATCTGCCATTTGAAACTCATCACAAAATACCACGTGACTGGGGGCCCGGCCAGTGTTGCTCAGTGGGTAGTACGCCATCCTGCGAACTGAAGGGTCCCGGGTTCGATTCCTGTCAAGGGTATGTACCTTGGTTTCGGGCTCCGTCCCCAGTAGGGGGCGTGCAGGAGGCGGCTGAAAATATATTTAAAAGAATCCTATATAATAAAAGGCTAATATGCAAATCGTCCCCTCCGGAGTTTGACCACTGGCTAGGACATACACTGACCACCAGGGGGCGGCGCGGAATGAAGGCAGGCCCCAGACGGCAGCCGGATTGGCCCTGTTCACCAGCCAGGTCTAGGGACACTACCCGTGCACGAATTTTGTGCACCGGGCCTCTAGTAATAATTAATAATAATAATAATAATAATAATGACACGTGGCTGGTCAGGCAGAGCTCCTGCTGCCCCTAAGCCAGAGGCAGAGCGGAAAGGACAAGGGGACATGGCCAACCCCAAGGTGGGCGGCGGCTCACAGCGGCCGCACGCTGGGATCTCAGGACACTGCCCGGAGGGGGAGGAAGCACGCGGCCGAAGCTCAGAACAGTCCTCGCGCTTTATTGCAGACGCGCCTTCCAGGGACACGCAGCTGCGCAGCATCGACACACAGGGGCCCGGTTCTGCCGCGTTTGGTCACCGACAAAGGGACCCGCGTGCCCCTTTCCTGGCTGAGCTATTCCCAGGACTGACTGTGTTCCAGACCCCGCACCCCTAACTCAGTCATGGGTACCGCCTTCTTCCAACAGCCGCTCAGAGGGCTGGGACCCTGGGACAGCCCCCCACCACCCCTTCCCCCGGGGGAGCGCGCCTGCGGTCACTGGGCCCCAGGGGCGGCCGCCGGCTCCGGCTCCAGGGCGGGCGCGCGCTCCACGGGCGGCTTGGGCACCTCCAGCATGCTGGACGCCTCCTTCCTGGGGCTGCCGGTCACCAGCATCCAGTGGTTGCGCGGCCTCTCCACCCGGTGGGAGTCCAGGTGGGTGTGCGCGGCCACCTCCGCCTCCTTCCCGAAGTAGGTCCTGGGGCGGGAGAGAATGAGGGGTGGGAACACGGAACCGGTCCAGCCCGGGTGCCTTCCTGGCCCGGCAGATGCTACAGGGAGCCTGGGACGGGGGGGGGGGGGGGGGGGGGGGGGGGGGGGGGGCGGGGGCTCTACAGCAAGCATGTCAAACTCGCGGCCCACGGGCCACACGCGGCCCGCAACGAATATTTCTGCGGCCCAGCCAATGTAACGGTATGTAAGGAACGTTCTAATAAAATTTTCGTCACTTAATTTTTACAATGTCCTGTTGTACATCTTTATGAACAACGAGCTACAAGGTTCGCTAATGACGGATGACTGTCATCGTGTTGCATTCGCGTCCCTTACGCGCCTCCCGCGCAGGCGCACCGTCTCTCCCACTGACACCGGCAGCGAAGGTTCCAGCAGCCGGTGGCCACGTCCTTGGTCTGGGACTGACCTGCTTGGTGTGGCAACAGGAAATACCTCTCTCCCAGAGAACGAGAAAAATGGGTTTATCTGTGTGACGCTTATCCATTTGTGCGGTCAGTGTCTGGTGAGTTCATGTTCAAGGAAAAGTATTAATTTTTATTAAAATGTTCTGTTACTTTATGTGAGCGATGACTCATTTATCTCCGCCCTTTGCATTCAGCATGTCTCCATCGAAATAAACCTGCGTTTCTATGAAAATGGAAGCTTTTGTTCTTTTGCGGCCACATCCACGCAAACCTTGTTTATCTGGCCCGTGTTGGCCTCTGAGTGGGACACGCTTGCTCCAGGGTACAGCCTGTGCTGGAAGCTTCCCCCGTGGGCAGGGCTGGGGGTGGGGGGTCCCCACCGGGGCTCACATACCCCCAGGGCAGGCACTTGGGGATCCGAAGGGGCTGCCATGGGACCTTTCACACCCAGAAAGTCCCGGGTGACAACATTTCATCACGCAAGACTTTTATGCCTGTTGCCACACTGTGATCCCAGCTTCTTTGCTGATGCCCACAGCCCCGCCCACCACCCTGTGTGACTGTGCCCCTGCCCACAGCCCCGCCCACAGCCCTGTGTGACAGTGCCCCTGCCCACAGCCCCGCCCACAGCCCTGTGTGACAGTGCCCCTGCCCACAGCCCCGCCCACAGCCTGTGTGACAGTGCCCCTGCCCACAGCCCCGCCCACAGCCCTGTGTGACAGTGCCCCTGCCCACAGCCCCGCCCACAGACTTGTGTGGCTGGGCCCCACCCACAGCCCCGCCCACAACCACATGTGGCTGGGCACGGTCAGCCCACAGCCCCGCCCACAGCCCCGCCCACAGCCTGTGTGACTGTGCCCCTGCCCTCAGCCCCGCCCACAGCCCTGTGTGACAGTGCCCCTGCCCACAGCCCCGCCCACAGACTTGTGTGGCTGGGCCCCACCCACAGCCCCGCCCACAACCACATGTGGCTGGGCACGGTCAGCCCACAGCCCCGCCCACAGCCCTGCCCATATCCCCGCCCAAGTCACATGTGGCTGTGCCCCTGCCCACGGCCCCGCCCACAGCCCCGCCCACTGCCGCGTGTGGCAGGGCCCGGCAACCCAGTACCTTAGGAAGAGATAGCGGTGGGCCGCCAGCCCCCGGTTGGTGTGGCAGTGATTGATGAGGACTCTGGTGTTTGCCTTTGAAGATAAAGCAAGGGAGCCATTTGCAGTATGAGCTAAGGCCGCCCAGTTCCCACAAGCAAAAGTGTGTAAATGTACTACATGTTCATTTAAAATCTATACATACTAGTATAGCCCTGGCCGGTGTGGCTCAGTGGATAGAGCGTCCGCCTGCGGACTCAATGGTCCCGGGTTCGATTCCAGCCAAGGGCACAGGCCCGGGTTGCGGGCTCGATCCCCAGTGCGGGGTGTGCAGGAGGCAGCCGATCCATGATGCTCTCTCATCATGGATGTTTCCAACTCTCTCCCCCCTCCCTGCTTCTCTGAAATCAATACAAATATATATATTTTAAAAAATCGCTGAAACCGGTGTGGCTCAGTGGATAGAGCGTCGGCCTGCGGACTGAAGGGTCCCGGGTTCGATTCCGGTCAAGGGCATGTACCTAGGTTGCGGGCACATCCCCAGTGGGAGATGTGCAGGAGGCAGCTGGTCGATGTTTCTCTCTCATCGATGTTTCTAACTCTCTCTCCCTCTCCCTTCTTCTCTGTAAAAAATCAATAAAATATATATTTAAAAAAATTCACTAGTGTACCTTATTAATAAATAAATAAAAATAAAATACGTACATATATATGGGTAACCTAGAAGGCGAATCATGATAGAGTGATTAAAGACATTCAGGTAGAGACACAGATGCTAAAACATTACACGATCATTCAAAGTCATCTGCGAGACCATCTGACAACCTAAAATATGGTCAGGGATGTTATTTTTTTAAATATATTTGTATTGATTTCAGAGAGGAAGGGAGAGAGAGAGAGAGAGAGAGAGAGGAGAATGGAGAAACACCAGCGCAGAATACTGCCACAGGGACAAAATCATGTCCTCCAAGCTTGAGGTACGAAAAAGAAGGGGAAGGAAGAGGAGGAGGAAGAGGAGGAGGAGGAGGAGGGGGAGGAAGAAGAAGGGAGAAACAACATAAGCAACACCGAGCCCCCATGTCAGACAGCAGCGAATCGCCCCCCCCCCCCCCGGATCAGCAGTGCGCACACATGCCCCCTCCCCACCTCCCCACGGGCACGGGCTCACCGGGACGGGGAGGCCCTCCCACTCCAGGCGCAGCTCGGGGTCGGGGTGTGCGGCCTGCCAGCAGTTCAGGAAGGAGTCCTCGTCGGTCAGGAACACCTCCTGGAGCCAGGACTTCTTGGCCGACCGCAGGAGCGTCCTGAGGTCGCTGGACAAGTACACCTGGGAGGGCGGCAAGCAGAGGGGCCAGGTCACAGGGTGCGAGCGCCTGGGGAGACGGAGCCGCCGGCGGGCTGACGGCCAGGCTGCTCAAAGGCCCTGTGCAGAGTCCCTGCTCTTCTTTTAAAAAAATGCTTTCATTGATTCCGGAGAGGAAGGGAGAGAGAGAGAGACGTCCATGATGAGAGAGAATCGTGGACCGGCCGCCTCCTGCACGCCCCACACTGGGGATGGAGCCCACAGCCCGGGCCTGTGCCCTGACCGGGAATCTAACTACCGTGACCTCTTGGTTCCTGGGATGATGCTTAACCACTGAGCCACACCAGCCGGGCTGGAATCCCTGCTCTCAGGGACTGGCTGTACGAGGACACTCGTTCTTCCTCCACCTCGAGTTCTGTGTGCCCTCGAACTGCTTGCTGTTCCTTCTTAGAATACGAAACTCAACCTCGCTCTGTGCCGATGCCTGTCCCCAACCCACTCCTCTTTTGTAGGGCACTGGGCCTGTCTCGGTATTTATTTATTAGACACCGGAGGCCCGGGGCATGGACTCATGCACCGGTGGGGTGCCTCGCACCGGTGCATGACCGGGGCCGGAAAGGGGCCACGTGGGCTCCGGGGCATGTCTGGCCCGTCTCACCCGGTCCCGATCTGTCCCTGTGATTCCCACAGCCCGCTCTCCTGTGAGTCAGGTAACACTTGGGGATGCCCTGGCCACTTTAGCTCAGTGGATAGAGCGTCAGCCTGCCGACTGACGGGTCCCGGGTTTGATTCCCATCAAGGACACATGCCTGGGTTGCGGGCTGGGTCCAACGTGCAGGAGGCAGCCAATCAATGAAGCCCTCTCATCATGGATGTTTCTCTCTCTTTCTCAGACCCTAGCAGCAAGCTAACCTACCAGTCAGAGCGTCTGCCCCCTGGTGGTCAGTGCGCGTCATAGCGGCGGGTCGAGCGGCCGAACGGTCGGAGGGGCACTGAGCGTATTAGGCTTTTAGGATGATGTTGCCGGAGGCTGGCTGTGAAGTGGAGCGCTCCCCCAACCCTCCTTGCATCGTCATCCATTCCTCTGGAGGCCTACGCCCTCTGGAGTTGATGCTCACACGTGGAATTTATTTGGTCCGCCATCTGGCGGCCTGTGGCTGCCGGGAACCACGCCGTCCAGCCAACGAGTCCGAAATGCCGGTGCCTTTGGGAGCGCCTTACGGACCCACCTTCACCCTGAATCTGGGGGTCGTTTCTGCCTGTTTAGATGGATTTCGTAGGCAGAGCTGTGCCTGGGGACTAAGGGGAAGGCACAAAGGGGTTACTGTGCCCAAGTGGCTAGTTTTCTTTAAAATATATATATATAGATATAGATATAGATATATATATATATATATATATATATATATATATATATGGATATGGATATATATAGATATAGATATATATATATTATTAATTTCAGAGAGGAAGGGAGAGGAAGAGAGAGAGAGAGACATCCATGATGAGAGGGATTCATTGATTGGCTGCCTCCTGCACATTGGACGGAGCCTGAAATCCGGGGCATATTTAATGTCAGATCTAGCATTGGGGACATTAAATGATTCTTAGGTAACACAATCATTCAACTTACAGGTAAAGGCGGTCTACACTTTTACTTTTGCCAGCTGCATGGGAAGTAAGGTTTTTGTCCTGACCGGTTTGGCTCAGTGGATAGAGCGTCAGCCTGTGGACTGAAGGGTCCCAGGTTCGATTCCGGTCAAGGGCATGTACTTTGGTTGCGGGCACATCCCCGGGGGGGGGGGGGGGTGTGCAGGAGGCAGCTGATCGACGTTTCTCTCCCATCGATGTTTCTAACTCTCTATCCCTGTCCCTTCCTCTCTGTAAAAAATCAATAAAATATATTTAAAAAGAAAGAAAGAAAGTAAGGTGTTCTCCTGTTAAGGGTGTATGTCTGAACCCTGCAAAGTTGGGCCTTAGCCAACTGGCTCAGTGGAGAGGGTCAGCCTGCGGAATGAAGGGTCCTGGGTTCGATTCAGATCAAGGGCCCATGCCGGGGTTGTGGGCTCCATCCCCAGTAGGGGGCGTGCAGGAGGCAGCTGATGGATGTTTCTCTCTCATCGATGTTTCTGACTCTCTGTCCCTCTCCCTTCCTCTCTGTAAAAAAAAAATCAATAAAATATTTTTTTAAAAAGCTGCGAAGACGCACCCCAGGCCCGCAGAGCTCCCTGTCCAGCTGGGAGGGAACCAGGGGCCCGCCCGGGGCCCAGAAGGCCGGCCCCACGTCCACACGCCACAGGGCGACTCACCATCTGGTCTTCGCACCCCAGGGTGATGCCCAGGCGGAAGCTCTGCCCGAACCGCAGGACCTGGCCGGTGGCCTCTCTGTCCGCCCTGTCGGGGAAGAGGACGCATCACTGACATGTTTCCGCGGGGGAACCATCCCGAGCTCCTCGTTTTGCGCGTGCGATTGTGCCAGCAAGCTTCCTGATCGTGTCTATTCACGTTCCCCGCCTGAGCGATGTCGCTAGGCACACGCTGCCCATCCAGCGGGCACCCTGCCCTCCCACCCGCACCCGCCCCCACCTCCCAGCGTGGCCCCAGCGCACAGCGCCCCCGCGTGGCCAGCCCATGGAGTGCACCAAGCGCGCAGGCCTCCTGCACCAAGGAGCTGGGTCAGGTGCAGCGAGGTCTTCTATTTATTTATTTTTAAATATATTTTATTGATATTTTACAGAGAGGAAGGGAGAGGGATAGAGAGTTAGAAACATCGATGAGAGAGAAACACCGATCAGCTGCCTCCTGCACACCCCCCACTGGGGATGTGCCCCCAACCAAGGTACCTGCCCTTGACCGGAATCGAACCCGGGACCCTTGAGTCCGCAGGCCGATGCTCTATCCACTGAGCCAAACCGGTCAGGGCGAGGTCTTTTTTATTTATTTATTTTTTAAACTGGAAGTTGAGATTTATTTTTAATATATTTTATTGATATATTATAATTGACATATTGATATATTGCAAAATATATTATTGATATATTTTTACAGAGAGGAAGGGAGAGGGAGAGGGAGTTAGAACCATCGATGAGAGAGAAGCATCGATCGGCTGCCTCCTGCACGCTCCCTACTGGGGATGTGCCCGCAACCCAGGTACGTGCCCTTGACCGTAATCGAACCCGGGACCCTTCAGTCTGCAGGCTGATGCTCTATCCACTGAGCCACACCGGCCAGGGCACGGCGAGGTCTTTAGAGAAACCAAGGCCACGCATTGATAGCACTTCATGCTATCTTCCCTCTGAATCCTCCAGGAAACTTCGAGGTTCAGGCCAATGACCTGGATTCAGACCTGGCCGGTGTGGCTCAGTGGATAGCGCGTCGGCCTGCAGACCGAAGGGTCCCAGGTTCGATTCTGGTCAAGGGCATGTACCTGGGTTGCAGGCTCCTCCCCGGCCCGGGCCCGGTCAGCGCATGTGCAGGAGACAACTCATCGATATGTTTCTCTCACATGACGTTTCTCTCTGTCTCTCCCTCTCTCTTCCACTCTCGATAAAAAAATAAATAAATAAAGCTAATAGAAAAATATCCCTGGGTGAGGATTAAAAATAAATAAGTAGCCCTGACCGGTGTGGCTCAGTGGATAGAGTGTCAGCCTGTGGACTGAGAGGTCCCGGGTTCGATTCCGGTCAAGGGCGTGTACCTTGGTTGCGGGCACATCCCCAGTAGGGGGCGTGCAGGAGGAGGCAGCTGATCAATGTTTCTCTCTCATCGATGTTTCTAACTCTCTGTCCCTCTCCCTTCCTCTCTGTAAAAAATCAATAGAATATATTTTTAAAAAATAAATAAGTAAATAAATACACACAAAGGCAACTTAAAATAAACACATTACCTGTATTCAAAAATAAATCTAAATTCAAGATTTGGAGTCTATATTCCTGTAATATAAACGTGCCTATCAAAATTTAGCAACAAAGCAAAGGAATAGTTTTTTGTTTTTTAAATATATTTTATTGATTTTTTACAGAGAAGAAGGGAGAGAGTTAGAAACATCAATGAGAGAGAATCATCGATCAGCTGCCTCCCGCACCCCTCCTACTGGGGATATGCCCACAACCCAGGTACATGCCCTTGACCGGAATCGAACCTGGGACCTCTCAGTCCGTAGGCCGACGCTCTATCCACTGAGCCACACCGGTTTCGGCATGGAATAGTTTTTTAAAATATATTTTTATTGATTTCAGAGAGGAAGGGAGAGAGAGAGAAACATCCATGATGAGAGAGAATCATGGACCGGCCGCCTCCTGCACGCCTCACACTGGGAATCGAGCCCGCAACCCGGGCCTGTGCCCTGACCGGGAATCGAACCCTGACCTCCCGGTTCATAAGTCGATGCTCAACCACTGAGCCACGCCGGCCGGGCTGAAGCACTATTTTTAACTATCATTATGTGTCTGTTCTCTAAGGGTTCAAATGCTCACTTAAAAGATATCCTCACGTACATTTATAGTGGACAGTGAATTTTTTTTAAAAAAAAAATTTTTTTCACAAAGGAAGGGAGAGGGAGAGCGAGAGAAACATCCATGATGAGAGAGAATCATGGACCGGCTGCCTCCTGCACGCCCCACACTGGGGATCGAGCCTGCCACCCGGGCCTGTGCCCTGACTGGGAATCGAACCGTGATATAGCGGACAATGAATTTTAAAACAGCAAACCCCCATGGGATGCCACCTTGCATGCAGTGATATATGTCTGGTGTGAACAATAACATTAAAAACATTGAAAGCCCCCAATTTTGCTCCAAGCACTAAGGAGTGGCTAGGAAACCCCACTTTGCTTCTAAACTAAAGATGAATTTCATCCTCTGGATCCAATGCTTCTGAATGGAGCCTTTTGAATGGAACACGAGTGACAAGTGACCCCGATGGTTAAGGTCCAAGGAGCAGCAAAGGCCCCTTGACTGTCACTCTCCAGGGAACAAAGCAAGAACGTCCGCGGGACCGCCGCCTCCAGGCAGCCCGCCGGCTCCAACCCCGGGACTGCCTTGAGCGGCAAGGGAAGCAGACGCGTATGACGTCATGTGTGGCATCCTCACCTCAACACGGTGAAGGTGTTCCTGCCAACGGGGGACCTGGTGGGCGATGCGCTCAGGCCGCAGGGCAGCTCGAACCGGTCACTCAAGTGGGCTGCGATCTCGTCCGGAGTCAGGCACAGGCTGAGGTCTCCGGTGAGAAACTGGTCGGCCTGGACCTCGGGGTGGTCGGGGTTCACCAGCATCACGCTGTCCCCGAAATGCACGTAGCTGTCCTCCGTCACCGAGAGCTGCATCTGCGGTGGAATCAGTGTGTTTCTACTTATTTCTCTTTTTAAAAATATATTTTATTGATTTTTTTAAAGAGAGGAAGGGAGAGGGATAGAGAGTTAGAAACATCGATGAGAGAGAAACATCGATCAGCTGCCTCCTGCACGCCCCCCACCGGGGATGTGCCCGCAACCCAGGTACATGCCTTTGACCGGAATCGAACCCGGGACCCTTCAGTCTTCAGGCCAACGCTCTAGCCACTGAGCCACACTGGCTAGGGTAACATGAAATTTTTTAAATACTTTTTTGAAGAGAGGGAGAGAGAGATAGAAACATTCATGATGTGCCCTAACCGGTTTGGCTCAGTGGATAGAGCGCCGGCCTGCGGAATGAAAGGTCCCAGGTTCGATTCCGGTCAAGGGCAGGTACCTTGGTTGCGGGCACATCCCCAGTGGGGGGGGTGCAGGAGGCAGCTGGTCGATGTTTCTCTCTCATCGATGTTTCTAACTCTCTATCTCTCTCCCTTCCTCTCTGTAAAAAATCAATAAAAAATATATTAAAAAAAAAAAAAGAAAGAGAGAGAAACATCCATGATGAGAGAGAATCATGGATCGGCCGCCTCCTGCACGCCCCGCACTGGGGATGGAGCCCGCAACCCGGGCATGTGCCCTGACCGGGAATCGAACCCTGACCTCCTGGTTCACAGGTTGATGCTCAAGCTCTGAGCCACGCCAGCCGGGCAAGGCTGTTTCTATGGAAACCATGCCATCCCCCAGCCGCCAGCGGTGTGCCCCCTCAGACGGGCCTCCTCTCCTTCCCTCACTAGGCCCGTTTCAGTAAGGGATTCGCCCGGATTCCCCAAATCTCGCCTTCCTTTTGCTGCCACCCACCCGCTGCCATAGTGGCAGATCCAAGTCCCTCCAATAACCCAAATGGAGAACGATGAAACCGACGAAAAAATCCCACGCGTTGAGTCCATTCTTAATTTATTCCACATTCACTGAAAGTTTCTTCAGCTTCCACTGAGGGGCATTTTCCTAATCCACGAACTAATGTAGTCTTTTCTTTCCTTTTTTTAATGTGTTGTGTGTGTTTTTTATGGATTTCAGAGGGAGGAAGGGAGAGAGAGAAACATCAATGAGGAGAGAGAATCATTGATTGGCTGCCTCCTCCGCACCCCCTACTGGGGATCAAGCCCGAAACCCAGGCATCTGCCCTGACCGGTACATCGAACCATGACCTCCTGGTTCAGGGGTCGATGCTCAACCACTGAGCCACACAGGCTGGACTTAACGCCGGTTAACATAACAGCAAACTTCCCTCGTGTGTCTGAAATCCTAGGGACATTGAAACATCGTGGTGTTCAGATCGGAAAGGAACTACTGGTATTTCCCAAACGATAATGCGTTTCTGGAATTCTCGCTGGTTTAACACAGACACGCGGTGGATGGGAAAGAACGTTTGAATTTAAAATTACCGGCCGCAGAAGATGGCTCTTTAGTCTTCTGTTCCTCTGTATGAACAGCTGTCCCTTCTCCCTCTTCTCTAAGAAGTCTTTCATGATCTCCTGGTGAGGGGAAAAAACACACACACACACGAATGAAAACCCAGAGACACTCGTAGCTTTCAGGTCAGAAGTGAAAAAAAAAAAATTGGAGAACAGAAAAAAAGAAACCTGAGCATCATGGGAAAATGTTTGCAGCATTATTTTAACATTAGAGGCCCGGTGCACGAAATTCATACAAGGGGGCTCGGCCCTCGCAGCCCCAGCTTCGCCTGGGAGGTCGCCCGGAAGGACTCCCGAAGGTCGTCCGGCTGTCCAGTCTAATTCGCACATGACGCTTTTATTAGTATAGATTTTCATTTCGCGGTAACAGTGTTTAGGAAAATGGCAAAGATTCGAAAAGGGAAACGTCACCAGAATTACTCCAGCCGGCGGCAGGCGGGAGTAACATGGGGAGGCCCTAACCGGTGTGGCTCAGTGGACAGAGCGTCGGCCTGCGGACTGAAGGGTCCCAGGTTCAATTCCGGTCAAGGGCATGTGCCTTGGTTGCGGGCACATCCCCAGTAGGGGGTGTGCAGGAGGCAGCTGATGGATGTTTCTCTCTCATTGATGTTTCTAACTCTCTATCCCTCCCCCTTCCTTATAAAATATATTTAAAAAACAAACAAAAAAAAGAGTAACATGGGGAGGCCACGTGTCCCCCACTAAGGTCCCCCTGGTGATATGATGATTGACACTGGACGTCCCCGCCCCCATGCCCCAACAACAAGTCTGATACACGGACGGTCCAGGGCCTTGTCAGGACATCATAGGAGAATTCAAGGCAGAGCGTGGACGGTCAGTAGTAGGGACCCCGCGGGGGCACTCGGGTGGGCGTGTGTGACAGGTGGGCATATGGGGGGGCGGGTTTCTGTTTAGAGCCTGCCTCCTCGCCATCCTCACCCGGGACCGCAGCATCTGGGACTGTAAGTGTCCAGGGAACAGAGGAAAATAACTCAGAAGAGCGCTCTAGACCAGGGGTGGGCAACCCCTGGCACGCGTGCCAAACAGGGCACGCCAGTAACTTTCGCTGGCACCGAAACCCTCTCTTGTAATCTTCCGTTTACAATTGTGACTCTTTGCTCTCAGAGATGGATTTTCTTAAGTCTCTTAAGAAGAGGAGCCTGACGGATGACAGTAGTAGCGCGTGCCTATCTCTGAAGGCCACGAAATAGAAACCTGATGTAAAATTTGTCATCAGTGATGCAGGAGCCAGAGTCCCACTGATACTATCACACGGAGTCATAAAGATTTCTGTCGGACTATCCCTGTGCATGTAGACGTTAAAAAACAGCCCTAACCGGTTTGGCTCAGCGGATAGAGCGTCGGCCTGCAGACTCAAGGGTCCCGGGTTCGATTCCGGCCAAGGGCATGTACTTTGGTTGCGGGCACATCCCCAGTTGGGGGTGTGCAGGAGGCAGCAGATTGGTGTTTCTCTCTCATCGATGTTTCTGACTCTCTGTCCCTCTCCCTTCCTCTCTGTAAAAAATCAATAAAATATATTTTTTAAAAAATAAAAATAAATGTATTTTTCATCATCATAGACTGTTTTTGTCGCTCAAATGAATTTTATTATTTCTTCAAGGTTCCTCACATGAGTACACCTTAAGAGATATCAAGTAGGCGTAACACGCTCTCAAAAAGTTAGGGTTAGCACGCAGAAAAATTTTGAGTCAGAGATTTTGCTGGTTTTGGCACGCACTCACAAAAAGGTTGCCCACCCCTGTTGTAGATTAAGGAGAAGGCACAGGCGGGGAAGGGGTGGTTGGGGTAGGGTGGGATGGGGTGGGGATGGGGTGGGGTGGGATGGGGTGGGGTTGGGGGGGTGAGGGAGGGCTTGAGCACCAAGGCAGCTTGAGAAACCAAGGGACCCAAAGAAAGAGAGAATCAAAGGGCACAGGCCTGCGGTAGCAGAGTTTCAGGTGAGATTCCCGGATGGTCAGAGAGGGTGGGACTGTAGGGGGACTCCGGGGTGTGCCAGGGGTGAAAGGAAACGGGGTGTTCAGAGTCCAGGGGGGCTGAGGGCGGGCCGGGGGCCGGGGGCGGGGGGCCGGGGACTGGGGGGGGCGCCTGAGACACCCGGCCACAGCTATCTGCACCTCCTCCAGGTAGATGTCCTCGTTCCAGTTGCCCATCCGCACCCCGGGACCGTACATGTTCCGCGCCATCGCCTTCCCAGGGGCTGCCGCTGCCGCTGCTGTGTTAGCGTCCCCGTCGCCATGACGACCCGCCTCGCAGCGCTGATTGGCCAAGGCGTGGACCCCGCCGGCCAATGAGAGGCAGCGGCCCCGCCCCCGGAGCAGTTCTGCCCCGCCCCTCCCGCCGCCACCCCTTGGGGTTCCTACATGTAACGGCACAGCCGGCGGCGACAGGAAAGGCCGAGGCCCCTGCGGCTTTTTTTCTTTCTTCTTTTCTTTTTTTTTTTAAATTTTATTTTATTGTTTAAAGTGTTACAAATAGTAATAGTACCTGTCTCCTTTTTTCCCCATTGACTTTCCCCGGCCTCCCCTACACCCCCACGCCCCGCACCCGCCATCATCCCCCCCCCACAACACACCCAATGTCTTTTTAAAAATATATATTTATTTTATTGATTTTTCACAGAGAGGAAGGGAGAGGGAGAGAGAGTTAGAAACATCGATGAGAGAGAAACATCGATCAGCTGCCCCCTGCACGCCCCCCACTGGGGATGTGCCCGCAACCCAGGCACATGCCCTTGACCGGAATCGAACCCGGGACCCTTCAGTCCGCAGACCGACGCTCTATCCACTGAGCCACACCAGTCAGGGCTCACCTTCCTTTCGTAAGACGGGTTTCCTGGGTAGGAGGCTTTGGGTCAGTCTTTTCTTTCAACACGTGATATACGCTACCCTCCTGCCTTCCCGGGGTCCCCTTGTAAACCTACTAGGTGTCTCACACCAGCTCTTGCAGTTCCCAAAATGTTCTCTTTGCCTTTCATCATTCTAAGGTCTGGGGTGATCTCTTCGCATTTATCCTACTTGGAATCCGTTGACCTTCCCGGGCGTGTGGGTTCATGGCTTTATTTTCATCAAATGTGGGATTTGCTATCATTCCTTTGAGTATTTTTTCTGTCCCTTCCCGTCTCTCTTCTCTTTCTGAGACTCCAAATACATGTGTGTTGTACTCATGTCCTCGTTCCTCTAGGTCTGGGTTCCTGTTCCTTCCTCCTTCTTTCTCTCTGTTATTCAAATGGCACGATTTCTATGCAGGTTTTACAATTTTTAAAAAAAAAAACCCAGAACATTCTGGATAATATATTGTGCCGAGTCTGCATACGGATTGCCTCACCCTGGTGCCTGTGTGTTTGCTTGTCTGCTGAGCAATCTGGCTAATGAGCTCAGCTGAATGGTTAGGTAAGGTCTGTTCCCCAACACTGTGTACCCTCCGACGCCCCCATCCAGGGGAGAAGCTGTGAGCATGCTCAGAGCCCCCTGGCCCCTAACCCAGTGGTTCTCAACCTTCTGGCCCTTTAAATACAGTTCCTCATGTTGTGACCCCGCCATAAAATTATTTTTGTTGCTACTTCATCACTGTCATGTTGCTCCTGTGATGAATCGTCATGTAAATATCTGATCTGCAGGATGGTCTTAGGCAACCCCTGTGAAAGGGTCGTTCGACCGCCAAAGGGGTCGCGACCCACAGGTTGAGAACCGCTGCTAACTGGATCCAGTGATAAAAATCACATAGAGAAGGATCTCACAGGTGGATTTAAAATCCAGGTGATCATAACAAAATGATTGACAAACATGTAGGGAGTTCTTTAAAAGCATATTTTACTAATTGTTGAAATCATAAAACAGTTATTTCGTTGTAACTAGAGAAAATTTTACATTTACATCCCTCAGAAAACCTCAAACCTCAGATGAAGACAGGAATGCACTCGTATATTGCTGGTCACTGAGTCATGAGCTCAGTTCTTATGTAGCAACTAGAGGCCCGGTGCATGAATTGGTGCACCAGTGGGGTCCCTCAGCCTGGCCTGTGGGATCGGGCTGAAACAGGCTCTCCGACATCCCCCCAGGGGTCCCAGATTGCAAGACGGCACAGGCCAGGCCAAGGGACCCCACCCATGGTGGTCAGTGCACATCATATCGATTGGTTGACCGGTCAACTGTCTGCCCCTTGGTGGTCAGTGCATGTCATAGTGAGCGGTTGAGCGGCCTTAGCACATCATTAGCATATTACGCTTTGATTGGTTGAACGGCCGGCCAGTCGCCCAAACACTTCGCATATTAGGCCTTTATTATAGAGCTGTGGTTCTCAACCTTGGCTGCACATTAGAATCACCTGGGAATCATTTTAAAATCCTGATTTCTGGGCCTCATCCTCTGGAAATTCTGTTTCTTTGTGATGGGGTGGGGCCACAACATGAGTCACAAAGACACAGAATTTCCGGAGGGTGAGGCCCAGAAGTCAGGATTTTAAAAAGATTCCCAGGTGATTCTAATGCGCAGCCACAGGTTGAGAACCACTGGTATAGAGGATATGATCTCCTTGAAATCAGGTTGTCAGTCCCTTCCCTCTGCAGTTATGATTTTGACATAAACCAGGTATAGGCTGGAAACCTTACTTGCCTGGGATTTTTTCCCTGACTTATTTGAGGCTCTCGGAAAAGTTTAATTGGATCCTTTTTTACTTCCTTGTGCAACCTCTGGCAGGAAAAGCCAAGGAAATACTTGACAGAATCGTTTTAGGAGAGAGAAGTGGGACAAAGTTCAGATGTTGGGAAAGAGCAATGAAAGCTACAACCATAGAGGCAGGGCCTTCCCGGGTGCTGGAACCCAGCTCACCGTCCTCAGCGGGTGACCCAGAGGATGAGTCATCACAGTGCAGGAAAGAAAGAAAAAAAGGGGCCCTGGCTGGTGTGGCTCAGTGGGTAGCGCGTCGGCCTGCTCACTGAAGGGTCCCGGGTTCGATTCCTGGTCAGGGCACATGGCCGGGTTGCAGGTGCCATCCCCAGTAGGGGGCGTGAGGAGGCAGCCGATCCAGGATTCTCTCTCGTCATGGATGTTTCTCTCTCTCTCTCTCTCTTCCTCTCCCTTCTTCTCTGACATCAATAAAAATATTTTTTTAAGAAAAAAGAAAGAAAAAGAAAAGAAATGGCACTGAAACTCCTCTCACTCAGTGTTGTCTGAGCTCAGGACCTTCGTTGACGAACATGAGGTGCCGGGGGGGGGGGGGGTTGGGGGTGCTTTTCCAACCAGTCTGTGATGTGTTAGTCAATGGAGACGGGAAGAGTTCTGTGGTCTGTACGCCTGAGAAATGCTGGCTCTCGGCTTCCTATCGGGGCCATCTTCATAGGGCATGCATTGTTATTATTTTTAATTTTTGTATTTATTTATTGTTATTGATTTCAGAGAGGAAGGGAGAAGGAGAGAGCTAGAAACATCCATGATGAGAGCGAATCGTTAATTGACTGCCTCCTGCACGCCCCACGCTGGGGATGGAGTCTGCAACCCAGGCCTGTGCCCTTGACCTGGGAATTGAACCTGGGACCCTTCAGTCCGCAGGCCGATGCTCTGTCCACTGAGCCACACCTGCCGGGGCCCCATCGATTTTTAAAGAAAAGAGAAGGGAGCTGGAGAGACAGAGAGAGAGAAACATCGATGCGAGAGAGACGCATCGATTGGTTTACCAGGGCCAGGGACAGAGCCTGCCGCCAATATAGCCAACATATGTGCCCGTCCGTGCCCTGGACCGGAATAGAACCTGGGACCCTTCGGTCGCCAGCCGATGCTCTATCCACTGAGCCACACCGGCCAGGGCAACAATAAGCTTCTGACTCCGCAGCCAGGCAGGTGCCCAGAGCCCAGCAAGCACCCCCACCCGCAGGGCAAACACCCCCCCCCCGACTGCCCTGGGCCTCCCGCAGTCCATCTGGGACTCCAGCTGGCTCGCCCCCGGGCCACTTGCCCACGTGCACCCTGCAGTCCTGGTGGGAGGAGTGCTCTGGGCTTTGTGGCCTCAGACCACAAAGATTATGGGGGTTTCGGGCTCCATCCCCAGCAGGGGGCGTGCCGGAGGCAGCCGATCTATGATTCTCTCATCACTGATGTTTCTCTCTCTCTCTCCCTCTCCCTCCCTCTCATCTGTACTAATAAAAGGGTAATATGCTAATTAGACCGGGAGACCTTCCAGGAGACTGGATGTTTTTCTGGACAAAGCCACGGTGGCCTGGCCGAGGCAGAGGCAGATGGGGGCGAGCAGGCCAGCGGGTGGGGTCAGTTGGGGGCGAGCAGGCTGGCGGGGGGGGGGACAGTTAGGTGTGATCAGACTGGAAAGGGGGGACACTTGGGGGTGATCAGGCTGGCATGCAGAGTGGTTAGGGTCAATCAGGCAGGCAGGCAGGTGAGCAGTTAGGAGCCAGGGGTCCCGGATTGCGAGAGGGATGTCCGACTGCCGGTAAACCAGCAGTCGGATATCCCCCGAGGGGTCCCAGATTGGAGAGGGTGCAGGCCGGCTGAGGGATACCCCACCCCGTGACGAATTTCATTCACCAGGCCACTAGGCTACATGAATAAAAGACAAAGATGCTAATTGACCGTACCTTCGCTACGCCCATCAGCCAATCAGAAGAGTATGCAAGTTAACCGAACAAAGATGCCCCTTAAATTTGCATACTGCTGGCAGGGCTGCACAGCGCAAGCCACCACCTGCCCGCCACCATCTGGGCCTGCCATCTGCCACCCGGGGAACGGGCTTAAGCCAGCAGGTGGTTATATCCCCTGAGGGGTCCCAGACTGTGAGAAGGCACAGGTCTGGCTGAGGGTACCCCCCACACCCCCTCCAGGGCACAAATTTTCGTGCACTGGGCCTCTAGTCTATAATAATGAAAGTGCAATGTGCTAATTAGACTGAATGTCCTCCCAGACGAAGCCGGGGCTGCGAGGGAAGCCTGGGTCCGGGGTGCTGGCGGCCGGAGGGAGGCCGGTGCCTGCAGCCAGGGGTAGGAAGGACACGAATTTTGTGACTTGAGCCTCTAGTAAATAAATAAAAATATATTAAAAATAGAGAGAGAGAGAGAGAGAGAGAGAGAGAGAGGGAGAGAGAGAGAGCCTGTTTCTGCTCAGATTCCTCCGGCACCTCCCTTGGTAACGGTTTGCAGCTTTCACACAGTCACGTGGCCGCATTCTCACCGCACCCCTAATCTCATCCAGGAAGAGTGT